ATTTTACTATCTGTGGGACCAAGAGGAAGTTATCTAAAATCTCTGAGCTCTTGTTTCTTAAATGCCTTCCTCAAAGGATCATTGTGAGTTTTCAATGAAATAACCCACAAAAATTGATTATATATTAGTGTCTGGAAGGTAGTAGGATTACTCAAGTATTAACTCTCATTCTCATTTCCAGGGCTGACATCTATGCAATATGCCGTGAAATGGCAAGCCAGCTGGCATCTATTAAACTAGGCTGCAGATCCACTAATTGATCAGTGCCCATGCCTTTTGGATTGATAAATGTTTTGAAGATTTTGAGTATTATATCTATTAATTGTGTTTCTTATGCAGAACCTGTTCAAAGTTATAGTGCCAGCATTATATATTAACAAATTGGTACCTCGTTTATCAATTTTTCATGTACATAATTAATGTGCATTAGATTTCAGAATCTAATCAAACTCAGAATCTAATCAAAATCAGGGTCTCAAACTTATATAGCTGAGAATTTTTTAGACCCAAGATAACCTCACCATACTATAGGAATCCCGGGGAGATGAGATTCAATATTATCCCGGATCTGCCCTTAACCACCTTAAAACAATCTAAAACACAAGGAGCACCTGGGTGGAGAGCCAAACAGAAATAGCTGATTCACTGTGAGAGCAGCATTCCCATTGTTCTTGGAAGGTCCAGACAGCAATGGAGTTTCACCAGCTCAATAAGGTGAAAAAAAAAAAACAGTTAAGAAGTTAATGAGTGTTATGGTTTTCATCATATTTATAAAATTGTATTAGGTTGTTGCAAAAGGAATTGCAGTTTTTACATTAAAAGTAATGGATTACTTTTGCACCAACCTATTAGTAAATTGTTGATTGTGCCTCCTCTTCCTCTCTTTCACCTTCCTCACCCATCCTTGCAAATACTCCTACATTTCAAGGTTCATGTGATATGATTATTTTTGAAGCCTTAGACTCCCAAGGACTTTCAAGTTTACCTCCTGAGATATGTTGATCCAAGTTTAGATCCATTATGGCTTCTGATCTCTAGCAGACAGAAATAGCAGCTTATTGGGGTGAATGAAGAAGTCATAATGACCTCTGCTGCTGCAGCCTAGATGTGTACTCTTCACTATCCCTTGCCTTTCCAATGATCAGTTCTTATGTTTCATGTCTTATGTCATACTGAAGTTAGTCCAACCTCTCCCACAGTGCAGGAGTTTGGTCTGTATTCTTTCTTACAGATGGTTGTGCCCTTTTCATGATAAGCAGCTCAAAACCTTCATAAGTTAATCTGTTTAAGATTGGAAATCTCTTCTCCATATAGATACCAAGTTAGTCTTAAGAGTTTCACTCATGTTTCTACTTCCAAGCTTTAGAAAATATAAGGGGGTACTTCCTCCCTACAAAAACCCTGAGGGACCTTTTTTTCCCAAATAAAGGCTTGCCAATATGAAACAGTTTAAAGCAAAACTTCAAGAGTTGAGGTGTAGTGGGGAGTCAAGGAGCTTTCTTCCAGACCTGCCCCTGACCGCATGGCTGCAGCATGAGGTGCTAAGTATGTGCAAAGCTCTGCAATGAAGAATTGGTCCAAGGCCACTTCTGGTGCTAATATTCTCTAAATTTTAGTGACATCAGTCCTGAGGGAAACAGATGCAAAGAGAGAACATTTAACTTGACGTAATGAGATACTGAACATCTCCCAGAGACATGTCTGTCTTCTTCCCCAGGTTGTGCCTCCCGTCTTCCAGGTTTTAGGCACAATCCCTTTCTAGCTGCTGTGTTTTGATGCCAGTCCTTCCCTACCAGAAACAGCCTTTAGGCTCAGTCTCTGTAAAGAACTGCTAGGTCTTAGCACCTTGGGGTTATTTTCAACGTATCCTTAGTTGCATACATCACAAAATTGATTCTTCTGTGCTTTTTAAGAGAGATAATGAGTAGGAAAACTAAACAACTTGGGTGTTTTTTTTTCCCACAATCCTTGACCTCCTTGAAATGAAATTCCCATCAGCCAGCATGCTGATTTCATGTGCTGAGTGAAATGGAGAGTTTATGTGAAGTAGATGTGAAGCCCTAACCTTGTGAAAAATCTGCTTTGGATTCCCTTCTTGAGCAGGGTGTGCGTGCAGAAACAAATTTTCTGAAACTACAAAGCACAATCTCACTTGGCAGTTCTGAAAGCTGGCACGGTGTGCCTGAAAAGGATTAGCAAAAGCATGACAAATCAGGGCAGAGCTGCAAAAGCCCGATCTCTGCCCTACTCCTGGCACAGCCTCATTCTTAGTTGACTTGGCAAGCTGATGGTAGGAAAGGATGAGTTTCAGCTTGCCTCTAGCCATAGGATTTACCACCTGAATTTACAGTGTTGGAGAAAGAAAATTTTAAGAGACTATGGCAAGAATAAAACCCCACCCTCAAGGTTTGGAGTTTACTAAAGCAGAATGTAAGTGAGCAGCATTCACCCTAATACTGGGTGACTACTTGTATGCCACTCAGTAAGTACAATTGCATAACTATTTATATTATTAAGAATGAGTTAGCAAAAAACAGAGACACTTTCTTCCCTTCTTAACCTTAGGGAAATACCGATTTAATTTTCAGTTACTGAGTGTTTGACAGTTTAATAAGTTTAAAAAACACTTTCACACTGGTGCTTTACAGCAAGCTCTGAAGTGGATATTATTTCCTCCCTTTGTGAAGGTTGGAGCATTTAGTGTCTCACTGTTAGTGCCTTTCCAGTCCCTACTAGAGCAGAGAGCTAGTCCTTCTGATGGCATTGACTCTTTTCACTTCTCTGCTGTCATTATGAGACTGGAGTGAGAACACTTCTGGACAAGGTCCATAACAGAAGGCGGTTACTGGGGGCAAAGGAGCAGGGCCGTGAGAGAATGGTGCTGATAATTCAAAGCTAACATGACCCTATAAGCCTCCCATACTCACAGACTTCCACACTCACAGGTGATGCAGAGTATGGACAGGGTGACTGACTAGCCTCCATTTGACCGGGACTTTCCTGGATTGAGCACTGAAAATCTTGCATCCTGGGAACTCCCTCAAGCCTGTTCAAACCAATGGCTGGTCGACCCATGTGTGGATTATATTTCTCCTCTTTGATTCCATCTAAATTTCTGGTAGCACTTCTGGGTTCAAAAGACTTAGTCCTCAAACTCCTAGGAAATTCTGGCAGCTTCCAGGACCTCACTGTCAATTGCTGCAAGACAGTTTACTGAGCCAGGACTCCAGGACATTTGGTCTCAAGTGGTTACATATTTAAATATTCAAGCAACCAATCCATAATAATCATCATAATCCTAGCAGCCAACTGGAGTCAAGTTAATAGTAATGACATCTGCTACTGATTATAAACCAGGCAGTATACTTCAGTGCTTTCTGACCCTCACCACCAATCCTTAGGACTCCCATACAATGTGGCTATCATTAGTCTCTTTTAATGAATATGGAAGCCGAAGTCATACATATTTAAAGCAAGACTCCAGGCCCTGAACCGAGTGAATCTAACTCCAAAGCCCATATTCCTGTAGTATACTTTTAAAAGTTCCTCTGAGTTCCCCTGTATCCAGACCTGAGGAAATGACCGTTGCATGGGTACTTTGAGGTAATCATTAAAGGCTTTTGCAAACTTTAGGAGTGGGAGCAGGCTCACAGTAATTAGGAGATTGAGTACCCTGAGAGTTCTGGCCCAGAATTTCATAGAAACATGGTGTTTAGAAGAAAGAGTCATCTGGTAAATTCTCTAAACCTAAAATTAAGACTTAGTGGCTATATATCCAACCTGATCAGTTTTTTTTATTACCTTCCAAGATTCAGCTTTTGGCATTATATCATCCAATCAAGTCTCATGGAGACTGGATTAGGACCATTAAAACTTACTCAGATACTAAGCCTCACTTGATACTTTTTATACAAAAAATTTTAAAACTAATATGCTACAAATTTTGTCAAGCCCTTAAGAGGTAGTTTATCAAATCAGTGTTTTTGCATTTGTGCTGGCACCACCCATGTTGGAACTCATTTGCTTTTGTCTATAAGTAAACAATTTCCTGTTTGAAAGTATCAATACCTGTTCTTGCCCACACCTGTTTAACTTTGTCTGATATTGTCTGCAAACATACTGGAGTTCTTCAGCATTTACTGATAAAACAACAGTGCTTACTCACAAGCCAAATCAACCAGCAATGCTTTTTCCTGGTGGGTTTAATTTGGCTAATGAGTTACAGTAGCAAATTCTAATTACAAATTCTGAATTTGACGTAATATCCAATTTTTAATTGGATGTACATTTATTATATTATATTGAGAGAGTGATTTATGAAAAAAATTATACTCAGTTTTGAAAAGAAATCTTCGCTTGAATCTAAAAAATAAACTCTTAAGTTTCATCACTGGGTTGGTAAGAGTTCAGGTTCTGGAGTTCATAGCCTCAACAGCTTTGTCTGAAGACTTAGAAAACCTGCTTCACTGGGTCACTTCACAGAAGAAAATCTCTTTTGTGTAAAGTTTTCTTTGAGATGATGGTGTACCAGTATGCTGACCAACTACAGTAAAAAATAACATGTATACTTGGGCATTCTCCTATCAAAATGGTAGATCCAGAAGCTTCTGGTGCCATTGCAACTTATATGAAGAAACAGTGCTCTGTAATGATTAAACAGCCACTCACGAAGACCTAGGTACTTGCCCAGGTAAATCAAAACCCTCTGGCATTTGAGAGCCAGTATTCAGGCTGGATTTCAATTTCTCTTGAGCCCCTGAACTATGTTATGTTGGTGCCATAAACAAACTGTACAACTATATAAGACAACTCTGTGATTAATATTAATTGAGGTCAGATGATAATTTCTCTATGTGCAGATACAGGAAGTTGTATTTAACTTTCTATACCTAAAATGCTGAGAAACCGTAGTCGTCCATAGTCATATTTTATATCATCTCACTTCTCTTGCCCAAACTTGACCTGCTGTTGCAATTATTTTACCTTTTCTTGGCCCTATTTTCATTTATATTTAATTCCAGAAACCACATCAAGTCTTTGTAGAATGAAGTAGAGTATAAAGAAGTAGAAGTGTACACATTCATCTTTAAAATAGCCATGCCTAGGTAAAGCAGCTTGCATTTAAACACACAATAGATTTTTCATGATTGTGTTGAACAGAAGTAACCTAACCTGTTTTTATAGCCTTCAAAATAAGGGGGATAGGAATGCTTTCAGCCCTTTTCAATAGCTTTGCTTATCCTGTTTTTTGTTAGATCCCTCCTCTTGGTTTGATCATAGTAGTCACTGTATTTCTTTTTGTAAGTTGGTCTGCAAAGGATAGGGCTTGCAGACCATTGGAAAGTTTGATGCCTATGAGTCATATTGCTGAAGGCGGAACTTTTGAGCCAGATTATTTATGTAAGGGCACAAGATGCTGTTATTTACAACAGAGTGAACTGAGCCTCAGTCAGAAAAAGTCTGTTTGCAGAAATACATATCCAAGACAAAGACAGGATGGGCACTGCTGGAAAAGTAAGTGGAACATTTCTGTCCTCTCCTCATCATGACTTAAAGATGTGAGGCTAATTCTTAGACCTTTGAATCCATTCAATTGTTCATTTTAACTTGAACAATTTTGCATTTAGTCTGCTTAAGGTTTTGAAAAAATAAAGATGACATGTGAAGTCAGGGTAATGTGACAAGTCAGGAGACTATATCATGTTAGAATTTGTTTTGAATTTGAAATAAATTTTTCTAGAATTGAATAGACCTGGAATGAAACCATCCTAATATGGGTCAGAAACCCAGCAAAACTAAATTACTTGGGGAGTTAATTTTGCACTTCAGAAGCTAGCAACTCTATCCACGGAAATTAATGAACTTTAGAAATGGAAGGAATCTTAAAAATTTGCAACTTCAACCACCCAACAGATGCTTCAGGTCTGGTTACACCATTTCTAGAGAGTTGATATTCATCTACTTTAAGAACATTTCTAATGATGGAAAAAGTAGCCTCAAGGCAACACTTTCCAATTATAATCAACAATACAGTGTATAATATATAAAGAGTATAAAAGCTATATGATTTTGATATATGGCCATGCAATAGTGTGGTTCGCATAAGGATTATATATTTCCCAAGTTGCTGTAGTGTTCTAGTGTAGCTCATGAAAGGAGTTTTCCTTTACGTTAAGATGGATTTTGTCTCTTTATAATAAATGTTTTCTTTTTCATTAAAAAAGTAAAAGATAATTGTATTCATTTCCTAGGGCTGCCATAACAAAGTATCACAGACTGGGTGGCTTCAACAGAAGAAATTTGTTTTCTGGTACATCTGAATGCTAGTGTTCTGAGATAACGATGCCATTAGGGTTGGTTTCTTCTGAGGCCTGTGTCCTTGACTTGTGGATGACCCTCTTCTCCCTGTTTTCACTTAATCTTCCCCTTTTGTTTGTATCTGATCTCCCCTTCTAATAAAGTTACCAGCCATATTGGATTAAGTCCTACCCTGATGACCTCATTTTAAATTAATTACCTCTTGAAAGACTCCATCTCCAAATACAGTCACCTTCTGAGGTACTGAGGGTTAGGATTTCAACATACAAGAGGGAGACACAATTCATCCCATACCAATGATTATTCTAGCAAATTTGGAAGGTCAGAAAATACAAGGGGAAAAAAAAAAATCATAACATCAGATGCCCAAACTACCATTTTTTGTGTGTGTTTCCTTCTATTTTTCCATCCTTAGTTTATGTAGCTGTACTCATACGATAGGCAAATATTTTATTTCATTTTTTCAATTTATTATAATTTATAAACATTTTTAAATGTCTAATTTCTACACTTAACCACAATTTATTTCATCATTCCTTTATTATTGTTTACATATTTGCCTTTATAAATAGTGCTGTGGTGACATCTTATATATAGATTTTTCTAAAGTTAGCATTTCCTCGAGGTGGACTTTAAAAATGGAATTACAGAGTAAATGTGTCACAACATCCTTTGGTACCTTGATGTACCCTGCAAATTACTTTCTAAAGGGTTGACATAGGTGAGATAGGCCATTTTATCACTTCCCTGACAATACTGTGTGTTCTCATTAAGTAAACAGTCATTATCAGAGCATGGTGGCTTGTGCCTGTGGTCCCAGCTACTGGGAAAGCTGAGATGGGAAGATCACTTGAGCCCAGGAGCTAGAGTACAATCTAGGCAACAGAGTGAGATATTGTCTTTAAAAAAGTAATTTTTAAAAATTCATTATAGTCTTGATAGGCAAAGACCTTTTTATGAGTGAGAAGAACCATGTCACAATCTGTTCATTAATATGTTGCGGTTTTTCCATAGGCCCTTGGCATGTCGTGTATCTCCCAGGATGTTAGTGTGGTATGTGGAAGTGGGAAGGAGTGTTAGGAGTGAAGTTAACACTTCCCTGTACATTTCAGTGACCATTGTATCTATCAAATGTGGTAACTTTTATTGCTTTTGCTTTAATATTTTCCCTCAGGAATGCCTACTTGTCAATGTGGAAAATTTACTGTTTCTCAACATGCAAAATTTTAATTCTTAGAAGCTGTTTCCTTTATGACTTTTCTAAACTTTTATTTTAGGTTAAGGGGTACATGAGCAGGTTTGCTACATAGGTAAATTGTGTGTCATGGGGTTTGGTGTACAAATTATTTTGTCACCCAGATAATAAGCTTGGTACCTAATAGGTGGCTGTTCAGTCCTTACTCTCCCTCCACCCTCCACCCTCAAATGGGCCCTGATGTCCATTGTTTTTTTCTTTGCGTCCATAGGCACTCAATATTTAGCTTCCACTTGTAAGTGAGAACATGTAGTATTTATTTTTCTGTTTCTGCATTAGTTTGCTTAGGATAATGGCCTCCAGTTCTGTCCATGACCCTACAAAGGACATGATCTCATTCTTTTTTATGGCTGCATAGTATTCCATGGTATATATGTACCACATTTTCGTGATCCAGTCTAGCATTGATGGGCACTTAGGTTGATTCCATGTCTTTGCTATTGTGAATAGTGCTTCAGTGAACTTACTCCTGCATGTGTCTTTATGGTAGGACGATTTATATTCCTTTGGGTATATACCGAATAATAGGATTGCTGGGTCAAATGTTAATTCTGTTTTAAGTTGTTCGAGAAATGGCCAGAATGCTTTCCACAATGGCTGAACTAATTAACCTTCCCACCAGCAGTGCATAAGTATTCCCTTTTCACCCTGACCTCATCAGTTTATTTTTTGACTTTTTGACAATAGTCATTCTGACTGGCATGAGATGGTATCTTATTGTGGTTTTGGTTTGCACTTCTCTAATGATTAGTGATGTTGAACTTTTTTTCATATGTATGCTTTGTTTTGAAAAATATCTGTTCGTATCCTTTGCCCACTTTTTCTATGGGGTTGTCTTTTGCTTGTTAATTTGTTTAAGTCACTTATAGATGCTGGATAATAGACCTTCGTTAGATACATAGTTTTCAAATATTTTTTCCCATTCTGTAGGTTGTCTGTGTACTTTGTTGATAGTTTCTTTTGCTGTGCAGAAACTCTTTAGTTGTATTAGATCTCATTTGTCAATTTTCGTTTTTGTTGCAATTGCTTTTGGTGTCTTTATCATGAAGTCTTTACCTGGTCCTGTGTTCAGAATGGCATTCCCTAGGTTATCTTCCAGGGTTTTTATAGTTTGGGGTTTTAGATTTAAGTTACATCTTAAGTTAATTTTTATATATGATATAAGGAAGGGGTCTAGGTTCAGTCTTCTGCATATGGCTAGCCAGTTATCCCAGCCCTGTTTATTTAATAGGATATCCTTTCCCCATTGTTTGTCCTTTGTTATTTTTTCTATCACTCTTAAGCATAAAAGTGACTCCATGCTTAGTACTATTGATATTTACATCTTCACTGATAAAATAGTTTGACTTTAAAAATAAATCTTAACAATGAATCCACCTTGAATTTGTTTGGGAATGTGGTGCAAGATTTCTAACTTCAACATTAAGCCATATTACACTGTAACCCATAACACTTTCCTTAGTAAGGCAGCGAGTGAATATGAAATTGAGCTACTGTTAGTTTTTAGCCACCCATTTACCAGTGTATCATTTTTCACTGGTAAATGGGTAGCTGAAAGCCACTGTTTGATAAATGGCCAAATGGTAAAAGGCTTTTTGTAAAAATTAATCTTTTTACAAAATAGCCATTTAGGAATCTATAGGAGCTCTCTAGGACTGTTGTGTTTGTTGCCAAGATGAGAGTAACTTATTTGGCATCTGAACAATTAATTAAAATATTTTATAGGGGTCCTAGACAGATTTGAAGGTAGGAAAGTGGAAACAGTTTCTTTCTGTGTCTCTGTCTCTGTCTCTGTCTCTGTCTCTCTCTCTTTCTCTGTGAGAATTCAATAATCTTACCAAAACTATTTAATTGAATAACTATAGCAAAACCAGTTGAACAACTGGACATCAGTCACTGGTATCACCACACCAAGTTTCCACTACTATAAGATCACATGCTTCAACTTGCCTGTCAAGCCCTCCCAGGTGCAAAAATCTGGACTAGATGCAAAAGGGATGCAGGGATGCAGACACAAATTCAGTCATCCAGGAACTCACAGTCATAATCTATATGCTTCATGATCTTCATGGTTTCCTTCATCCTTACCATGCTAATAGTCTAATTTCTTCACTATTGCTACATGATTATATACAGCTATTAAACACTGGTTTAAATTCTTGCAGACAAGTCAGCTGCATTTTCTGTTTTATAAATTTGTCTCCTGTGAATAAGTGATAAACAGAGGACAATTTTATTAATCTATTACATTTGAAATTGTAAGATAATAACCTAGTTTATTGGAATATTATGTGAACAACAAACAAAAATCAATAGGTTGGGAAAAGTACCTTAGATTTAGTCCAGCTCTGCATCTCATCTGCTAGGTGACCATGGATCCATCATTTAGTCGTTCTGGGATGCATTTCTCACACCTTAAACAAAGGCACACACAAGATGATTTCTAAGGCTTACAATTCTAGTGTTTGATGAAAATCATTCTGAAAAACTTAGAATATTGTATATGCTCTTCTGTTCGTATTTATACTATTCAGGGAGTCTGTATTTAAAGACATAATTCAGACCCATTATAACGCTTGCCAATTTCTTAGGTTATTAAATGCAAGGCAGCTGTGCTTTGGGATCAGAAGAAACCCTTCTCCATTGAGGAAATAGAAGTTGCTCCACCGAAGACTAAAGAAGTTCGCATTAAGGTAAGCATGAGCCCTGGAGAACTTACACCAAAAACATTATCAAACTTATATTGAATATAGCGCTGGTTGGGTTGGATTCTTAAATAAGGAGATGCTTCCCAAGTTTGGAGTATTAATTCCCTTACTTGCTCTTATATATTGTTAAGGATCTGGTCATTCTGGATGTAAAATTAATGAGTTCATTATCCTTTAAAAAAACAACAGTGCTAACATGCTTTATTAAACTTTTGATTTGTTGAATTCTTATCCATATAGTGTCTAATTAAAAAATGATTAATAATCATAACTAAAGACTTCTTTTAAAATCTGGGAGTCAGGTTGTTTTGAGATTACTTTTCACGAAGAGTGAAGAACTGACCTGTGTCTGGAGAAATGACAACTTCCTGAAGTATTTTTCTCCCTTTCTTTGGACAGTGTTTAACCTTGGCTTTGGACACCAGTTGTTGAGTAGGCATTGCTGCCAATCTTTCTTTGACTCTCTTACTGTTACCTGAGCACTACAGGAGCAGTAAGATTTTGCTCCTTACTTCCTTCTTGCATGCTATTTCCTCTATTCTTGGTTAAGAGAGTCCAGGAAGGGCCTAGCTATAAAAATCTACTTTGGGGCCATCACGTGGTAACATCTGCATTCTGGTTCCCTCACAAGAGCACCAATTTACTATAGAAAGGCACCAAGATTCAACCTAGGGTTTGCAGGAGCAGTATCATAAGTTCTTTCAGAGAGGGATCTTGCCTTATGGTTGATTTTTGACTCAGAATCTTCTAAGAGTGAACGTTGTTATTTTAGGCAATAATATTGAATAAACAATTATAATTTCTTCAAGTAGTTAAATATTCTCCCAATAGTGAAATGATCAGTCTGTCAATTGGTGCAGTGTTTTTGTCTTTGAACACAGATTTTGGCCACAGGAATCTGTCGCACAGATGACCATGTGATAAAAGGAACAATGGTGTCTAAGTTTCCAGTGATTGTGGGACATGAGGCAACTGGGATTGTAGAGAGCATTGGAGAAGGAGTGACTACAGTGAAACCAGGTATATGCAGTTGTCAAGCCACAAGTTTGAAATAACTGGGCTTTGATGAGCCTATCAAAAAAAATAGCACACACGAGGAATTATTAGAGGGATCTTTAGCACAATTCAGGGAAATAAGAATACAATAATGGATTTTACAGAGTAATGTTTAATTTGGCAAAATCACAACCTTTAGAAGGCAAACCTTATGCTGTTTATAAACACGGACTACCTTTTTGAAAGTCTTACTTGAATACTTACCTGGCAGGGGAGACACCATGATCACGAAGGTGGTTTTCCCAGAGCGAGGCTTATCCATTGCACTCCGGATGTGCTGACCCCTGCGATTTCCCCAAATGTGGGAAACTCGACTGCATAATTTGTGGTAGTGGGGGACTGCATTCGCGCTTTCCCCTAAAAAAAAAATAAATAAATAAAAGTCTTACTTGAAGTATGGGCTTAATTCATATGTATTTCATATTTTAACATTAATGAACAGCATCTTATATCATGATGTTTTTTTCTGTAGGTGACAAAGTCATCCCTCTCTTTCTGCCACAGTGTAGAGAATGCAATGCTTGCCGCAACCCAGATGGCAACCTTTGCATTAGGAGCGAGTAGGTTTCAGTCACTTTTACTTTGATGTTATTTAAATCGTTCCTGTGCTAATTTTTGAATTGAATTAATTAATACATGTATTTAATGTCTCAAATAGCATTACTGGTCGTGGAGTACTGGCTGATGGCACCACCAGATTTACATGTAAGGGCAAACCAGTCTATCACTTCATGAATACCAGTACATTTACTGAGTACACAGTGGTAGATGAATCTTCAGTGGCTAAGATTGATGACACAGCTCCACCTGAGAAAGTCTGTTTAATTGGCTGTGGGTTTTCCACTGGATATGGGGCTGCTGTTAAAACCGGCAAGGTAAGAAACAGGGGAGGCTACTTTCTTTCTTTCTTCTTTCCTTTTCTTAAATGATTTCCTTGGAATCTTGAAGAGTTTTGGGAAAAAAAAAGTTTTAAAAATATATTGCGTATTCAGGCTACCAAGCAACTCAATGCCAAATCAACTGAAAGAAAAATAAAAATTCAGATAAGAAATATTGTTTCTTAAAAAGTGGAAATAAAATTTCTAGGTTTAATTTTTGTTTCTTCCACATCTCCTTTAGGTTCAAATTTCTAAATTTATATTTGTATCTAAATTTATTTACAAATGACTCAGAGTTATGATTTTTAAAAATTTCTCCTATTTAAAGATGGAATTCATGTGCAGACGTGTAGGTTTGTTACCCAGGTATATGTGTGCCATGGTGGTTTGCTGCACCTATTGACCCATCCTCTAAGTTCCTTCCCATCACCTTACTACACCCCAACAAGCCCTTGTGTGTGTTGTTCACCTCTCTGTGTCCATGTGTTCTCATTGTTCAACTCCCATTTATAAGTGAGAGCATGTGGTGTTTTGTTTTCTGTTCCTGTGTTAGTTTGCTGAGGATGATGGCTTCCAGCTTCATTAATGTCCCTACAAAGGTCATGATCTCATTCCTTTTTATGGCTGCATAGTATTCCATGGTGTATATGTACTATATTTTCTTCACCTAGTATATCATTGATGGGCATTTGGGTAGGTTCCATATCTTTTCTATTGGAAATAGTGCTGCAATAAATATACATGTGCATGTGTCTTTACAGTAGAATGATTTATATTTCTTTGAGTACATACCTAGTAATGGGATTGCTGAGTCAAATGGTATTTCTGGTTCTAGACCCTTGAGAAATCGCCATACTCTCTCTATGATGGTTGAACTAATTTACATTCCCACCAATAGTGTAAAAGTGCTCCTATTTCTCCACAACCTCTCCAGCATCTGTTGTTTCCTGGCTTTTTAATAATTTCTGTTCTGATTGGTATGAGATGGTATCTCATGGTGGTTTTCATTTGCATTTATCTAACGATCAGTGATGTTGAGCTTTTTCCATATTTTTATTGGCATGTAAGTGTCTTCTTTTGAGAAGTGTCTGTTCATACCCTTTGCCTACTTTTGGATAGGGTTATTCATTTTTTCTTATAAATGTGTTTAAGTTCCTTGTAAATTCTGGGTATTAGATCTTTGTCATATTGGTAGATTGAAAAAATTTTCTTCCATTCTGTAGGTTGCCTGTTCACTCTGATGATAGTTTCTTTTGCTGTGCAGATGCTCTTTAGTTTAGTTAGATTACATTTGTCAATTATGGCTTTTGTTGCAATTGCTTTTGGCATTTTTGTCATGAAGCCTTTGCCCATGCCTATTTTCTGAATGAAATTGCCTAGATTTTCTTCTAGGGTTTTTATGGTTTTGATTTTTACATTTAAGTGTTTACTCCATCTTGAATTAATTTTTGTATAAGGTGTAAGGAAGGGGTCCAGTTTCAGTTTTCTGCATACAGCTAGCCAGTTTTCCCAGCACCATTTATTAAATAGAGAATCCTTTCCCCATTGCTTGTTTTTGTCAGGTTTGTTGAAGATCAAATGGTTGTAGATGTGTGGTGTTACTTCTGAGGCCTCTGTTCTGTTCCATTGGTCTATATATCTATTTTGGTACCATTAGCATGCTGTTGTGGTTACTATAGCTTTGTAGTATAGTTTGAAGTCAGGTAGCATGATTGCTCTAGGTTTGTTCATTTTGCTTAGGATTGTCTTTGCTATACCGGCTCTTTTTCACTTCCATTTGAAATTTTTGGTTCCATATGAAATTTAAAGTAGATTTTCTAATTCTGTGAAGAAAGTCAATGGTAGCTTGATGGGGATAGCATTGAATCTATAAATTACTTTGGGCAGTATGCCCATTTTCATGATATTGATTCTTCTTATCCATGAGCATGGAATGTTTTTATTTCCTTAAACAGTGGTTAGTAGTTCTCCTTGAAGAGGTCTTTCACATCGCCAGTAGGTTGTATTTTTAGGTATTTCATTCTCTTTGTAGCAGTTGTGAATGGGAGTTCACTCATGATTTGTGTTTTTAACTGGAGGCCCTTTTCAGATCTCACTTTCTGAGCCTAACACCTAACATGTTCACAGGTCAAACCTGGTTCCACTTGTGTCGTCTTTGGCCTGGGAGGAGTTGGCCTGTCAGTCATTATGGGCTGTAAGTCAGCTGGTGCATCTAGGATCATTGGGATTGACCTCAACAAAGACAAATTTGAGAAGGCCATGGCTGTGGGAGCTACTGAGTGTATCAGCCCCAAGGACTCTACCAAGCCCATCAGTGAGGTGCTATCAGAAATGACAGACAACAATGTGGGGTACACCTTTGAAGTTATTGGGCGTCTTGACACCATGGTAAGAGCCAAAATAAGAAGCCACAAAATACCCAAGTTATTAGATATGCATAAAGTAAATTTAATTTTCTATAGTTTTATTAATAGTCAATGATCGAAATAGCTTTGTGATTGTCGGTTTTACTCAGGCAAAACTAATAATCTTATAGCAATTTTGCCTAAAAAGTCAAACACTTAAGAGCAGGTTCACCTGTCTAAAGTTAAAGACCATATCATACCACTCTCAGGTGACTAGAGGGCAAGATAATCAACCCTTCTAGATAATTGTTTTAAGTATGATCTTTCTTGTATATGTAGACTTCCTGGCAAAAGTGATTCTATCTCTTCAATGTTAGCGAAGTAAGCATCAGAAGGTGACTGAGGAGAAGTGAGGAAGCGACGCAAGGGAAAAAGCGTTATTCCAAATCTTCCCCAAATCTGTAATCCATACACCTTGTCACTCTTTACACTTGAGCTTTGTTTTCCCTCATCTGAATTCCCTTAGAATACGATCCTTCAACTTTCTTTTTTCTTCTTCTTTTTTAATACAAAGTTTCACTTTTGTTACCCAGGCTGGAGTACAATGGTGATCTTGGCTCACTGCAACCTCTACCTCCTGGGTTCAAGTGATTCTCCTGCCTCAGCTTCCCAAGTAGTTGGGATTGCAGACACCCACCACTTCACAGTGGCTCACGCCTGTAATCCTAGCACTTTAATGGGCCAACGCAGGTGGATTGCCTGAGGTCAGGAATTCAACACCAGCCTGGCCAACATCGTGAAACCCCGTCTCTACTAAAAAAAAATACAGAACCTTCAACTTTCTAACCATGCCTCCTGTATGGCAGTCTGCAGCACCAGACTTTCAGTTAGATATGTAAAATGGATCCAGGGTTCCTGGAACTAGAAAGCTCCATCCTGGTGTAGCATAAGGAGATTTGGAAAAATGGAATAAAGCCATTTTTGCTCAAGATTGAGTAGCAAATTAAATTCACCTTAATGCTTTTGGTAATTTAGGAATAAATGTCCTTAATTTATCATTGTAGTCATACTCCTTTCCTAGTGAATCACTTAGATTTATTTCCTATCAACAAATAGCATTCTAGGTTGTAAGTATGAAGCCATACATGGTATTGGATATATTATTACAGTGATTTCCAGGTGCTACTTAATGAAGCCTGGTCTCTAAAAATGATGCTATCATCTGTTGCTAAAATCTAGCATGTATTAAATTATCAATTAATAACTGAATGGGCCAATGACCAGAAAATGTGAGTCAGTCTCAGAAATGTTCCCAAGAAAAGGGACTCATTTTTCCCACATTTTAGTATTTTATTTACTTTTCAGACTAAACATAAAAAGAAAACTATGCTAAATTATTTGGCATAGTTAATTCAACTTAGTTTAGTTCAAATGGCTTTCTAAGGCTTATCTGAAATGGTGAAATTGGTATGAGAATATCACAAGAATTTCCCCTGTGTTTTAGTCCATGGTACACCGAAATTGCCACAAACACTGACCACATTGATTGCTGTTTGCTGCCTTAAAGGGCAAATGTGTATGGAAATTTAATTAACGACTAATGTTGCACTGAAAAATTTTTAAAGCAAGTAAAAAACAGAAGATGGCCTAATTTAATTTCATTACTTTGCCAAAGTGCATACGTCTTTTCGGAGCTAGCGTTACACTGTAAGAGACATAGGAAGCAAACAATCTCCTCCATTTTAAACTCAGATTGATGCCCTGGCATCCTGCCATATGAATTATGGAACCAGCGTGGTAGTAGGAGCTCCTCCATCAGCCAAGATGCTCACCTATGACCCGATGCTGCTCATCACTGGACGTACATGGAAGGGATGTGTCTTTGGAGGTAAGGAAAGCAAAGCCCCTGAATCGGGAGTGATGGCTTTCACTCTGTTGCTTGGCAAGTGGGAGAAGCCTATTTCCTCAGGCCTTTCAAGAAAAAGTATGAAGTGATCTAAAATGGAACTGTGACGGTAATAACACAAAAGAAAATTCTCTACTCCTCACCTTGATGTAGGACTAATATTCATGGACACATTTGTAATATTAGCCTCTGCAATGCAAGTTCCCCAAAGACCTGAATGAGAGACACTGGTAGTGTTTCTATAGGGATGATTTATGTAACAGGAAGTTCTGATTTAATCCACCATTATTAATATATATGAATGTGTATTAAAATAGAATTTATTCTATTCATATTAGCACCAAAAAAAATCCTGGACCCAAGCCAAAAACAAAAACAACAAAAGGATTGTCACGTTTTATGGGAACAGTTCAGATTCACACTGGAAAGACTTAGATTATCACTCAACAATTAATATTATTTTAGTAAAGATGGAGCCAGGGTCACCCTGCTCAAGGCAGGTAACACAGTGAGTCCTTTTATTTCCCTCCTCCACAGTCTCATTTTCTAGTGCTTTCAAATAGTGTTGTACTGGGTGAAAGCACTTCCAATATTAGAGTTTACCTTATACAATATAAGAGAATAATAAGTGTTCAAGTACTTGTTAAGAGTACAAAAAAGAGAAAATGATTGTTTTTGACTTAGATACACAATGTAGTGAAAGATACGAAAACAAAATAAAAGAAACAATATACAAATAAGTGTAGGTATAGGTATTATAAAACAAATTATAAGAGGAGATTTTTTAAGCATTTATTCTATGTTAAAAATTTTACACTAATGTGTTAGTTTATTTTATTTCTCAGTAACTCTCTGAGGAAGCTACTTAACGAATAATAAAATTGAGACTTGGAACTATTAAGTTTTTTGCCCCTGGAGGTCTAAATGAGAACTGAGATTTAAAGCTGGTCCGTGGGAGAACAAACTTTGCCCTCTTTCTACAACATTACTTGGGGCATAAAAAGATGCTGGTTGTTATGGATGAGGATTCTAGAGAAGGTTTCTTATGGAAAATAAAACTTGAATTGAGGAATAAAACAATAAGAGATATAAGTGGAACCTCTTTGCTTTGACTATTTATGTGAAGTGGGAAGATGATAGATTATTCAGGAATATTAGAAGTAAAAATCAATTATTCAGCAAATATTTTTTGAGTGTATACTGAGTACAGGTACCATTGTGTTTACAGTGTACCATTCCAGGAGCTAGGAATGGAGAAGAGACAAAACATATCAAGTCCCTGATCTCAGGAGGTGTGAGAATCCTCTCATTTTGGTCTAGAAAGATTGACAATAAAGAAATGAATGCAGAGTACACCATATGGTTACAAGTGCAAAGGATACCAATAGAGGATGAGCAATAGGCAGTGCCAGAGGACCAGGGTGGAGGTGGAAGCAAATGCTATTTTATAAAGTTCAGGAAAGGCCTCCTTGATAAGGTAACATTTGAGCAAAAATATCAATGAAATAAGACATTCAAAATTCTTGAGAAAGAATATTCCAGGAAGGGGACATAGTAAACACAAAAGGGTACTGGCAAGAACTGTAAGAACAGGGAGAAGGTCACTATGGATACAATGGAGTGAGGACAGAGGACAGTCACAGCTGGGGCCAGAGGACCAGATCTCACATGGCCTTTAGGCCACTGCAAGGTTTTAGGAGTTTATTCTGAGAGAGAAATAAAACCACAGAGGTTTCTGAGGGAGGTGTCACCTGTTCTGAGTTCTATTTTAACACTGTCTTTCTGGCTGCTCTATGGGGAATATTCTATATGGGGGCAAAGGGCACAAGCGGGGAGACCATGGACGAAGTTATTATAATGCAGGAAGGAAAGGATGCTGGCTTAGAGTGATGGGGCTGGTGAGAAGCAGTCAGATCTTGAATATATTTTGAAGATAGAGCCAACAGGATTTGCTGAAATAGTTAATTGTATGACAAAAAGTGTAGAATCCAAGATTTGGGGGCCTAGGCAACAGGAATGATGTCATTATCATCATTTATTGAGAAGGAAGACTATGGAAGGAATAGATTGGGGCTAGGGTGGAAGCTGTAGAAACTAGGAGTGGTTTGGGGTAGGTTACACTTGTATACCTGGGAGATATCTGAATAAAAATATCTGTAAAACATAAGCAGTTGGATATAAGTCTGTAGTACAGGTAGAGGTTTAGGATGGATATAGAAACCTAAGTGTTTTAAGCAGAGTATATTGAAAGCCACAAGACCAGAAGAGATCACTCTAGAAGTAAATGCAAATAAAGAAAAGAAACGAACCAAGGACCAAGCCCCAGGAATCCTCAGAGTTAGAGGTCTGGGAGATGTTGAGAACCCAGCAAAGATGTATGGAAGAAGTAACTAGTGAGGAAGGTAATTAACAACGATAACAATGATGATGTAGTATCTAAAAGCTCAAGGAACAGAGTGTTTGAGAAAAGGGGAGCCACCAACGCTATCAGTTCCACCTACTGTTCATGTAAGAGCGGGAGTAAGAATTGACCCTTGTCTGGGTCAAAATGGAGCTCAAAGATGACCTTAATGAGAACTGTTATAGGACAGTGTTGGGGGCAAAAGCATAATCAGAATGGGATCAGAGAGGAAGAGAAGAAAGGAACAGGATCCAGAAACAGTGAACTGGAAACAATTCTTTCTATACAGTAAAGAAGTTTTTCTGTAATAGGAGCAAGGTGACCAGAATGCAATGTGGGTATCAAGAGTTTTTTTAACTTTTGTTTTTTTAAATTTAATTTTTATTTTTTATTTTACTTAAATTCTGGAATACATGTGCAGAACATGCAGGTTTGTTACATTGGTATATGTATGCCATGGTGGTTTGCTGCACCTATAACCTGTCATCTAGGTTTTAAGCCCCGCATGCATTAGGTATTTGTCCTAATGCTCTCCCTCCCCTTGCCCCCCACCACCTGACAGGCCCCAGTGTGGGATATTCCCCTCCCGTGTCCGTGTGTTCTCATTGTTCAAATCCCACTTATGAGTAAGAAACATGTGGTGTTTGGTTTTCTGTTCTTGTGTTAGTTTGCTGAGAATGATGGTTTCCAGCTCATCCATGTCCTTGCAAAGAACATGAACTCATTCTTTTTTATGGCTCTAAAACCTTTGTTTCTTATGATGGGACAAATACAGCTTATTTGTATGCTGCTGGGATGATCTAACACAGGGAAGGTGATAGTGTAGGAAAGAGAAGGAATAAATATAAGGGAATAAAAGGTAAAGATTATTTAGTAATGTCTAAGGAGAAAATGTGTGCTTATTTACAGGTTTGAAAAGCAGAGATGATGTCCCCAAATTAGTGACTGAGTTCCTGGCAAAGAAATTTGACCTGGACCAGTTGATAACTCATGTTTTACCATTTAAACAAATCAATGAAGGATTTGAGCTGCTCAATTCAGGGCAAAGGTAACTGTTTCTTATGATGATCTTGTCTCTTCTCCACAAGCTACTTTTAAAATTATTACTTACAAATGTGCCTGTTTTCTTCATATTTTATTTCCAATTATTTAACCTAGCCAGATTGATACAGGTGATGACTTCTCTTTCACACTGCTTTAAAAAACTGCCCAAGACTGGGTAATTTATAAGAAAGGGATTCAATTGACTCACAGTTCAGCATGGCTGGGAGGCTTCAGAAAACTTACAATCATGGCAGAAGGCAAAGGGAAGCAAGGCACCTTCTTCACAGCCTGCAGGAAGAAGTGTCAAGCAAAGGGAGAAGAGCCCCTTACAAAACCATCAGATCTTGTGAGAACTCACTCAACTATCATGAGACTACAATGAGGGAAACTGCCTCCATGATTCAATTACCTCCACCTGGTCTCTTCCTTAACATGTAGGGATTATAGGAATTACAATTCAAGATGAGATTTGAGGAGGCGAGGGGCACAAAGCCTAACCATATCACCAATTCAGTATGTCATTGTCCTTTGTTAACCAATTTTTAAAAAGCTTTTGGACTTTGTTTACCTAGTTGACTTCATTATGGCTATTTTTATTTTATCATAATGCTGCTAGTTATTGCAAGTAGGCCACAAAATTTCCTTATTTTACAGTTTTCAAAGTGCTTCCTCAAGTGAACATTTTTCAGATCCCCATAGGCCAGGTATTCTTTTTACCGTTTTTAGATGAAGACTAAGGTTATGAGATGCAAATAAATAACTTGTCAATCCTGCTGGGGTAGTGCCAGGATACAAACTAATTGCAAAACTTGAGCTCTTTTGACCACATAACAAACTTCTCTGACAGAGCTTGGCAAGCTCTGGGTAAACACAGGTGTTGTGATTACTACTCTTGTTGCCTCTAAGGATTGGGCAAGGATAGACATCGTGTGGATTCATGCACATTTTATCTACAACATCTAACGCATGGAGGTCTCAAACAGCAATCAAAAAGCCTGTCTGCAAGATGAAATGAATTTCACTCACTGGGTCTGTAAATAATTATTGAGCTTCCACTATGTGCCAAAGATATGGATTTCATTAGTAAAAGGAACTAAACATTGAGATCCAAACTTTTACTATTTTTTTTTTTACCTGAGAGCTTTTTCAATGTTGTGTCTTGTCTCCACATCTGGTCTAGCCTAAAGGGTCACTGTATTATGAACATACTTTTTTTAAGGAAGTAAACAATGGGATTGTGTAAGAAAAACTGTCAGAACCACTCAATACTCCTTTACTTAGATAAGCAAAACTAACAGCTTAGTATGGCCTGTTTGGAAAATAATTACTATATTATATGTTTTCCAAAGAAACATAAATTCTGCTTTCAAGAATTTTGCTTCGAATATCGTCTTAATGCAGGGATATCTAAAGTAACATTTGTAAACCTAAATGCTTCAATTTCCATTTACTTCCTGCACAGCTCCATTTGAAAGTCCCACTTACATCACCTTCACTCAAAATATTTTTTTCACCAGTAATTTTTATCTCAGCAATGGTATCATAGATTCCTCCTTTAGAGATGAGAATCCATAGCATTATGTCTGACTTCTTTTTCACTCTTGCCTACCACATACAAGCCGACACTAAGCCTTGGTGATGTAACCCTTGGTTTCTCTTTTAGCATGCCTCATCTCATCGCGCATATTCATTGCTTTATCAGTCTCATCATTTCTGACCTGGACGCAGTAGTGAGATAATAGGTTTTCCACCTTCATATTAAAATACATTCCAGTTAGTATTTCCCTAAGCTTCCAAACTCAAGTTTCCCAAAAATATCAATGTCTTAGTATGGTTTTGGAAGCCTTTACTATTGAACTAAAACCTATTTTGTTTCAACAGTTAAGAATTTGGCATCCATTCTAACAACCACTGCAGCAGATTCTTGGGATAAAGTGAGGGAAGAAGGTCTCATCTACTTGTAAGATCTCTTGGGCATCCAGAAATCTAAGCACACTGGATTAGATTAGGGTAATTCCTGTTCACATGTTTCTAGGCGTGTTCATGCTTTCTCTTTAACCTAAAAACCCCTTTCCTCTTGTTGGCATTCTGAAATCATACTGATGCTTCCAGAATCAGCTCAGATACCTCATCAGAGTTGCACAAGAACGAAAACTAATTGGTAAGGACTTTGATCCCAAAGGATTTCCAATAACAGAATTTACCTGAAGTTTCTATGATGGAAAGGACAATTATTTAAACTATCCTTTTTTGAAAGATATGAAAAGAAATCATTAAAACCTCTCATTTTACATTTCAGCATTAGAACTGTCCTGACGTTTTGAGATCCAACGTGACAGGAGGTGTTGTGAGGGTGACCTGGAGTTTCTCTTTTGACAGTTCCCTCATCTGAGATCGTGGATCTGTCTCAAAAAATACAAGCGGAAGTAGAAGGCTTGGTGAAGACATAGAACCCTTATAAAGGATTATCAACATTTATAAACATTTAGAGTCTTGTGAGCACCTGCGAATTAGTATAATAGCAATGTTAAAATTTTTAATTTACATTTTGTAAGGCCATAATTGTATCTTTTAAAAATATATCCTTGGATTTTTACATTGAAATAGAGATTTTTGAGAGTTTCAACCAACTGCTGCAGATATGTGTCTCAAAACAGATATAACGTGTAAAGATATAGTAAATGCATCTCCTAGAGTAATTCTCACTTAACACATTGAAATTATTGTATTTTAGATTTGAATATAAATGTATTTTTAAATATCTGTTATGAGTTAACTTGGATTAGGTTTTGAAATCAGTTCATTTCATGATACATATTACTTGATTAGATTAAGAAAGACAGAAAAGATTAAGGGCAGGGCACATTTTTCAACGATTAAGAATCATCATTACATAACTTGGTGAAACTGAAAAAGTGTGTCATATAGGCACATGAGGCTATTTGCCAGCATATATTAATATTTCAAAAAATTCCTTTTTGGAATACTGAATATAAATGTAGAGCTAGAATCACATTATAATATTTACCATAATGTTCAGGTTGATACAGTACAATTACAAGTCCCTATTCACTGTGCTTAGTAGTGACTCCATTTAATAAAAAGTGTTTTTATTTTTTAACAACCACACTGATGTATCTATATATATCTATAGCATGTTAAAAATACTTAAAATTAAAAATTGTATAAAATATTTGTGGTTATGTATTTTTAAACAGTTGGTTTTACTTTGTTATTGAGTTTTTACTGGTTATAAAGAAAGTGTTGAAGCACCTGAAAACATAAAAGTACTTTATAAGACACTTAAGAAGTTGGGTGGTCATAGCTGAAATTGAGGTTTTCAATATTAGGACATAATATAGATCAGACAGTCCTGCCATCGTAAATTGCAAAATGCCTAGGTATTTATGAACCACTTTTACATGATGAATATTTTTCAATGAAAAGTGGCTTGAACTCAAGGGGTAAAATTTCCTTTTTCTTTTACCAGCTTGTCAATCTAGGCTTCATATAGGTCTAAAAAAAAAAAACAGCTGAAATAGCTGAAAAGTATAAAAATTATTTTGAAATATCTCCATCATCAGCTAGATTTAGCTATGGCAATTCTCAAAACACTATGAGTAGTTACAGCTTTTAAGAATTATATTTTACATATACATATATATCTATGTTTATGTCTATAGATAGATACATAGATAAATGATAGATAGATGATAGAAGATAGATAGGTAATAGCTATAGGTAAGTATAGAAAATCTACCGAAGAATCATTTGGAGACATTTTCTTCATTCATTAGCAATATCTGTAGCTGACATCTCAGAATCCATTAACAAAGGAAAAACTGCCCCCAGAAAAGCATTTTTAATAAGAAAAATAATGGATTAATTCCTTTATATCTCTTGCCTTAAATTTTAAAAATATGTAAATAGGATACTGAAAGTAATATGCAAATATAAGTGTATCAAAAGAAATAAATCCAAGGAATAAACACATTTATGTTCTCAGATCACAGTTTTTTTTTTAAATAAAATCCACTTTATGCCTACAAATTATATTTTGACAAATATGCTGCATATGTGACAATATATTTAATATTTATTATGATATTTTGTGGAATCATTCCTCGTGTCTGAGCCTGTCATGGCCAAATAATGAACAGAAAGACCTTCTACTATCTTTCTCAGGGTAACCTGCCCATGAATAGCATTTTGAGTCATCAGAAAACACGGAAGAGATCAGGAAATCTGCTTATTTTGCATATTTCTTATTTCTGGTCAATGAAACCACAAAGCATTGTCAAACTGAGTTCTTGAATATAAATCAAAATATAAGTAAGCAGTAAGTAGCTAGAAGAATGCTAAAAGAAATATCCAACTTCTTCTTTAAATAATAGTCTAGACTTTTATCACTTTAACTGATATGTAGAGAATATTCATTCATTGGGCATTTTTTTTTCTTAATTTCAACGATGTATTAAGCACTGAGCTAGATGTTTGGTATAAAGTAATGAATAAAACAGTTAAGGTCTCTTCCCTTGCAGAGCATATGGTCTAGTAGTGAAGGCAGCTCCTCTCTGCTAGAAACCAAACACACTTCAGGACACCCTGGCTGCAGAAAGGTGTGACAAACTGCAGGTCTTCTCTGGGCTGCTTTATCACCTCTTCGCCTTGCTCACCTTTAGTTCCTTGCATACCTCATTCTTCCTGTTCACAGGACAAAAACTCAGGACCCACCAAATCGGTGGGCTAAAGGAGCTGTAACACAAACAGGGCAGAAACACACCCCTTGCTCACCATGTTGTAGGTGACAAGAAGAGAAGATAGAGATGGAGAGAAGAGCTGTGACCCTTTGGGGAGCCCAGACCTAGGAGTTCCCCACACCAGGGCTATAACACCCTCTTTGGAACCCTATGGTTCCTGATGTCTCCAAGCTTCCAGGCACCACAGCATTCTTGGTGTCAGCTGTGGAAGTTGCTTATGGTGTGCCTGGTCCAGCTGCAGACTTGCAGGAAGCTGGTGCTCATGCCAGCGCCTGGAGCTGTCCACCCCACTGCAGCCAGCATGCCTGGCTGTGCACAGTGGCCAGACCCCACAGTTCTTCATACACCTTTCATCACTTCATGGCTGGTTCACCCTTGTGGGGTGTGGGATCCAGATCAGTAGCATGAGCTGAGCATAGCCTGCCAGGCCAAGTGAGTAGAACGAGCTCAGCAGACCAGAGCAAAACACAAGCAAAGGCACCACTAGCCACAGAGGCTTCTGGCTGGCAAAGCAACATCCTAAGACTCCAGTAACAGTAGGAGACATTTAATAAGTAAATAAACATATAAATATATTACTTAAATTTTTGATAAATGCTAAATAAGGCAATGATGAAGGTGCTGCGTTAGGAAAACGAGGAAGAACAGGAAGGCATTTCCAGCTTTCTGTAAGGCACTTGAAGGCCTCTCTGAGGAGGCAAATTTAAGCTTACATGGAAGGATAAGCTAGAGCCAGCCCTATAAAGAGAGGAGTAAAATTCTCTCAGGTGAAGGAACAACATGGCCAAATGCTAGTAATTTGGGAAAAGCTGACCTAATTATTTTTGGGAACTATAAAAGGGCCAGTGTAGTTGGTATTTGCTGCAAAACATTAATGATATTGTTTAGGTTCATGAAGCTGAAATAAATGCTAAGTCCTTGTGGACATTTTTATACATTTATCTTAATAATCAGCTTCCTTATATATACCTCCAGAAGATAATGTGATTTGATTACTACCAAGATTGATATAAAATTTTAATTTAGAGGAAGAAAAGGACTATACAGAAATAGCATTCCCAAGAGTACCCTCTCACCCATGACTTCAACTCCAGAGTCTGCAAAGATTTCCTCCACCAGCAATTTCCTTTTCTCATTTCTTTTTACATCTAAAATTATTTATATTTTTATGTAATAAGTAACTAACTAAGGCCTCATAAACTAGTTTGTAGTGTTCATCTTCTTCATTCCTAGGTATTTGTCAATTTTTTTTTATTCCTTACTCCCCATGGAGTTGGAGTACCTTCATTAAGGAAAATCTCAATTACCTAGACCACCAGCTTTAGGTTCCAGTAGTTCTTTATACCACATTTCTGACTTTGTCTGTTACCCTGTAGGGTACAGAAAAGTGACAGATGCCTTCCCTGAAAGTCCATTCCATTTCACAGGTAAAGTGTCAAAAATGAAAGCTACATTCTAAGTTCTTTCTCAAAACAGCACCTGGTATTAATAGAACATTCTGTGCCCAGTGGACACTATGCAAACATTCTTAGCTGATTCAACAATTGAATTGAGAGAATTGCATATTTCTGGCTGTGTCAAGTGTCTGGCTCATTAAGTGGATCTTTATGTTAGCCAAAGAATTGAATGAAATACCAAAGCAAGTTTTTGGCAACAGCTCTTCCAGGTAGTCAAATTTTAAATTTTAAATTTGGATTTATTTTTCTGTTTTGTAAATGAATGAGACTCGAACTTCAGATTCAAGTCAATATTTTAATTAAAAATAATGTTTGCTAGCGTTAGGACAAATACGTAATGCATACAGGGCTTAAAACATAAATGACGGGTTGATAGGTGCAGCAAACCACCATGGCACATGTATACCTATGTAACAAATCTACACGTTCTGCACATGTACCCCAGAACCTAAAGTAAAATTTAGAAAAAAATGTTGACTCTAATTTGCAATGGCACATTTGAAAAAAAAATTAGATATATTGTTTTAATTTTACTAGCGTTTTATAAATTTCGGTGCAAGTTTTGGCAAAGATCCACATAGTTACAAAACTACTTGGCATGCATGGTTTTGGTACTATTTATTCAGAAAGACCTCTTATAAAACAAATGTTCCTGCCAAAGTAGGAAATACAAATATTGTACTCTGATTGTGTATTACAACTTGTCAAAACTGTGATGTGGTGCCCTAATTCAGGAGGCCTGGGTTTGATTACAACTCCACCTCCAATTAAAATTCACAGTAGCTATTTTCTGAAGTCTCATATAGCATTCTCAAAGGTTCTACGTAGAATGAGGGTTCTATTTAATTATTAATAACTTTTCTGTACCTACCATGGTTTTGAAAGTGTTTCTGAAATTGTCATAAAATTGGTTGTTGGTTTCTCTTTACCTTCCAAAGGAAGACTGAGGAGTGTCTCCCTTAGGAATAAAAGGTGCTAAAGCACTTGCAATTTTCTGCTTCAAAACAGGGGACTTATCTGATGAATTTGTTCTGGAAAACTAGAATCATAGAAATAGTCTTTCCTGGAAGCCACTGAAAGTTCTAGGAAGCACTTGGTTACATTTGAAAAAAACACTCAAAAGAAATAGCTTGATCCAGGTCTAAATCCCTCAGAAGAAACAAGAGTGGACTAGGTTCTAGGACCTCAGTCCAAGCACCATCAGGAGGCCTTATTTTATCCCTACCTGCTTATAGGATGCTTGGTGTGGCACAACTCAAATCCAACTTTGGGCTGTTGTCCCTTTAAAACTTAAAAATATTGAAACAATCAATTCTCTCTTCCTTGTCCCTGCTATCTTGTTGCCCTAGTTCATTCCTTTACCTCTTCTTGTCCAGATTCCTACAATAACCACCGAATGCATGTCCCTGCCTACTGTAGAATGGTTTTGGAATTAATTTGAATGGCTTATTCAAATCCCCTAATTCTACCCATGGAAATGCTAAATTGAGCACTCTCTTCATCTGTGCCTTAAATGCAAAAGGTTTTTTGAGAGCAAAGGAGAATGCAGCATCACACTCATTCTCCACTGATCCGGTTAGGCTTTGTTTCCCCACCCAAATCTCAACTTGAATTGTAATTCCCATAATCCCCATAATCTCTACATGTTAAGGGAGTGACCAGGTGGAGGTAATTGAATCATGGGGGCATTTCCTCTTGCTGTTCTTATGAAAGTGAGTTCTCATTCGATGTGAGGGTTTTATAAAGGCTCTTCCCTCTGCTCAACACTTCTTCCTGCTGCCTTGTGAAGAATGTGCCTTGCTTCCCCTTTGCCTTCCTCCATAATTTAAAGTTTCCCAAGCCATGCTGAACTGTGTGTCAACTGAACTTCTTCCCTTTATAAATTACCCATACTTGGGCATTTTTTTTTTTTTTTTTTTTTTTTGAGACGGAGTTTCACTCCTGTTACCCTGGCTGGAGTGCAATGGCGCGATCAC